TCTAACTGAATGAGCCCAGGCACTGCAACTCTTCAAGCCTCAGTGTGTTCACTTGTAGATTGTGTTTAATAATAATACGTTTAGGACTATTTTAAGAATTAAAGGAATGAAAATATGTAAAATACTTAGCATAGTGCCATTGTTTTGTCATTATTTGCTCTTGGTGGTTGATGTTTTACCATTCTTTTTGAATATACCCGTTAAAACATTTAGTGAAGATGTGTACTTTGTACCTTCTATCAATCTACCATAAAATAAATATGAGGGGCCCCCCACCAAAAAAAAAACACCAGAATTATCTTCCTCCGGATCAAATGGTCAGCCAAAGTTTTTATCTGGAAGTTTTGAGAAGGTTGCACCACAGTTTATGGAAGAAACATCCTGAGTTGTGGCAAACAGGTGACTGGTTCTTCCACCATGACAGCACACCTGCCCACACCGTACTGAGTGTTTAGCAGTTGTTGACCAAAAACATGACTCTGTGTCCCACCCTCCCTATTCACTTGATCTACTTCTGTTTGTTTCCCCAATGAAAAAAGTCCTCAAAGGGAAATATTTTGCCATTGTGGAAGAGGTAAAACAAAAAATGGCAGAAGCATTAAAAGGCAGCAAAACTGGTGAGTTCAAAAACCATTTTGAGCAGTGGGAAAAGTGTCTCAGTAGTGTGTTGCATCAAACGGAGAGGACTTTGAAGGTGACTGGAATTTAAACATGAAAGAATAAATGCACAGTTTTTTAATTAAAAAAATTCAGGGTATTTTAGGTCCCCCCTTGTATTTGGGGAAAATTCCTGACCTGTCAAGCATAGCAATGAGGGTTAAGGGCCATTATTATCGGATTGTACCAAGTTTGGAGAGATGGACTTAGGAGGAATGTAGATTCTCTGCTCTCCACTACCTAGTGACATGGCTATCTTCCTTGCTCCTGCTAGTTGAAGAAATAAATCAGAAGGGAGGGAGGAGGGAAGGGAGGAAGGGGGGAGGGAAAAGTTTCACAAAAGAATAGTTGCTTTCACTATGTGTATTGCAATCTGATATGTTCTATGCTATTTCCCTTTGTTCTTTTAAAATTCTAGTCATGATTCACACATTTGGCTTCATTAAAAGAAAAGAAAGAAATGAATCTAAATGGAGGTGAATTTAGATCAAGTAGCAGAGTCTGGAAAATATTTACCTCATGCAATAAAATAGCTTTGAGGGGAGGGAGTGAGAAGAAAGGTAGGCCTCCGAGGGAGGCCAGGTTTGTGGGGAGGCCAGGTTTGTGGGGACGAGGGAGCAGGAGGGATGTGTCTGGTGAGACCTGCAATGTGGGACTCAGGAGCCTGCATGGGGGTGGAGGGACACTGCTCTTCTAAAGGTGGGGCCACAGAGTCCACCTATGTATTCTTGGTGCCCTGCTGCATTTCAGAGGAGTAGATTTGGCAAAAGAGTACATGTAAGTGCACTTTTTTCAAGTGTTAATGGATTTCCTGATAAGTAGGAAAGGCATCAAATAACTGAAGAAAAAAATTCTCTAGCAACACAAAAATTACTTTTGATTTTGCATATTACCTTTTAGTCTGTGTTCACATGTGATAGTTTTATATAATTACATGCTGTTTTATAGCTTGCTTTAAAAATGTAATGCTCTCATAACATTTTTGGTATTGACAGTTGATCTTAATCATAATTTTTAAGGCTACATAATATTCCATAGTATGCTATTTTTTGTCCATTTATTCTTTGGAGCAGATTTCAAGAAATCAAATTATTGTTTCAGTTTTAGCATTTATATAGTTGTTTATATGTGTGTGTGTATTTATATAGCATTTATATAGTTTACCATAGCCTTTTCAGTATAGGTTGTTACCACTTAAAAAAAGTTAGCTGGTCGGGCTCTGTGGCTCAACCTGTAATCCCAGCACTTTGGGAGACCGAGGTGAGTGGATTGCCCGAACCTGTGGGTTCGAGACCCACCCAGGCAAATTGGTGAGACCTCGTCTCTACAATAAAAATCAAAAATTAGCCGGGTGTGGTAGCGTGCACCTGTGTTTCCGGCTGCTTGGAAGGCTGAGGCGGAAGGATCACCAGAGCCCAGCAGGTGGAGTCTGCGGTGGCCGGGAATGTGCCACCACTGCACTCCAGTCTGGGTGATAGAGTGAGACTCCAACTCAAACAAAAAAAAAGTTAGCTAATATAAAAAATATTGATTGGTATCACAAAATTCTTATTTTTAAATTTTGAAGTCATTGATTATAATAAAGATTGAATTTTCCTAGCCTGTAATCCCAGCACTTTGGGAGGCGGAGGCGAGAGGACTGCCTTAGCTCAGGGGTTTGAGACCAGCCTGAGCAACATGGTGAGACCGAGTGACTACAATAAATCAAAAAAATCAGCCGGGTGTGGTGGCACATGCCTGTGGTTTCAGCTACTTGGGCTGAGGAGTAAGGACCCCCTGAGCCCAGTAGGTCGAGGCTGCAGTGGCCATGAGCATGCCACTGCCCTCTAGCCTGGGTGACAGAGTGAGACTCTGATTAAAAAAAAAGAATGAATTTTCCTCACCTGTTTATTTGTTATTTATATTTATTCTAATGAATTTCTGCCTGTAAGGTATAAATAGAATACACTAACATGTACATATCCAAAGTATACAGCTTGATGCATTTTTACTCATATACATTCCCACATACCCGTACACACATGCATCTGCACCCACACCCATGTTCATGTGCACACATACCCACAAACACACACACATCTATATCCACACCCATGCTCATATGCACATGCATCCACACATGTGCACACACACACCCATATCTATACTTGTGCACATGCACCCACACACATGCACACATGCATTTGTACCTACACCCATGCTCATGTGTACATGTACCAACACACAAGCACACATACACACACACACACACATATCCAAACCCATATTCATATACATGCACCCACACACATGCACACACATCCATACCCATGCTCATGTACACATGCGCCCACACCTATGTTCATATGCACATGTACTTGCACCCACACACACTTGTGTCACTGCCATGGAGACCATCCCTAGCACCCCAACAGCCCTGTTAGAGTCTTGAAGTCTGAACCAACTCCGGACCTGTCATGAATGGTCACTGTTCTCACCCCAGATTTGCTTTGCCTGTTTTTCACTTCATACGAAGGGAGTCACGCAGTGTGTTGCTTTTGTGTCTGATTCTTCTCACTCAACAGCATCTATGTGTGTGTTGTACTTTTCATTACTGTAGATATTGCATTTGTGTATGTACCATTATTTATTTACCCATTCTGTTGTTGTACATCTAAGGCATTTGACTATTATGAGTAAATTTGCCATGAAGATTCTCACACATCTTTTTCGTTATATGTTAGGTCTAGACCCACTGTGAGAACTGCTTTGGGTCATGGGTGCAGGGAGAAACTTATTGGAGACAGTTTTGAAAACAAAGAGGATAGTAATTCTTTTAAGTGTCTCCCCCAAAAGAGAAGGGGAAGGCACTTGTCTTCACTCGTCTTCACTGTTCTGTGTTAGGCTGTGCTCCGCCACATCTGCTTTCTCATTAATGCCAGGAGGCCAGTGCTGGTGTCTTCACTGTGTATGCAGGAAATTGCGATTCATTGTCACACAGCTCTTAAGGGTGATGGCCACGGGTGAATGAAGCTCTGAATCCAGAGTGACTTTATAGGAGGACCGGAGGTTGTTTTTACATTGAACTACTGAAAAAAAGGAAGCAGTCAAGAATAAAACAAGAGACCACCCAAGCCAAGGGTAACGTGTAGATGCATCCTGGACCCATAATTAAATAGCATTTAATGTTGATTTTGATTGCAAATATAATGTATATTAATCAAGAATTATTTAAAATACAAATAAACCATAAAGAAATCAAAGAAAAACACCTGTAATCCCACCATCCAAAGATAACCCAGTTACCTGCTAGCTGTCGTTTGGACAGGCATGCTCTTTTTAAACAAAAAAATGGATGTAGCATTTGTATCATTCTATTGTATATTCTCCTTAAATATGTATTATGGACATTTTTCCATGCCACTAAATAGTCTTCTATGGTATATTGAATGGCTCCATAATATTATATTACAGTCAGATACTGCAATTTATTTGAACAGTTCCTTATTGCTGAGCATTTAAGTGACTTCTAATTTTTCATTACAATAATCAATGCTAGAGTGAACATCCTTGTATATAACACTTTGGGCAGATCCATGAATATTTTCTTAGTACAAATTTATTTTTAAAAGAAGAATTATGTTTTCTCATTGATTTGAGTATTGGTAAGAGATTGAATGTGAGATCAGTTTAATTTTTCTGAAAATTTATCCTGAAAAGCATAGAGGTAACATATTTAACTTTTTCACTTAGTGGCTAAAATGTACTACTATTACAATTAAAAATATGATGATAGGCACTGACGGCTGTTGGATTTGTTATTAAGAAGTTAAAAATGTTCTGATATATAGTTCTTTCTCACTCTTTCACACCTTAATCATTTTGACGTGTGAGTTGAGTTCTGCCCACTGCAGAGTGGGCCACAGTCAGTCCCAGACCTAATTAGGCAGCAGTGCCCTGCCACCTCTTGCCCTCCCTGGCAGTCACATAGCAGACTGGGAGGGTCTTGCTGATTTGGACAACTCTGAGCAACTTTGGCTCTGACACCAGCGATAGCCCAGCCTCAAAGCCACTTGAGTACAGAGCATTTGATGTCTTATTTCTTTAAGACTGGATATAACCAGAAGGCAGTTCTATAACCTGCAATCTTAAAAATAATCTACCGGGATTTCATACTTTGTTTTTGGAGAGGAGTCCAGTAAGAATTAAATTACAGAAGTACATACTGTTTGCATAATAACAATTAATTAAAGATATATCTATCATGAAATATGTGTTTGATTGTTCTTTGTAATCATGAGGTTTAAATAAGGTACTGAAGAAAGTGTCTGAGATCTTGATCTGCTCTTTTCTTGTATTTATAGATCCACATCATAGATTTTGATGATGAAAATAACATTATAAATAAAAATGTCCTCCTCCATCAAGCGGGTGAGATCTGGCACATTAGTGCCAGTCCTGCAGACAAAGGTGTGCTGGCAACCTGCTACAACAGAAGTAAGTGCAGCTTTTCTAAGACTCTCGGTGACTATAGGTATTACAGAAGACTGGTTACGTTGCTAATGGGTCGATGCGTGACTTATAAGATTTGACCATTAGTGGAGGTATCGCATGCACAGAGAAGCATTTTTGTGAGTAGATGTTTGCAGAAATTATTATAATCCTAAGATCCTAAGAATCAAAGCTGAAACCATAGCTGTTCCAGGAACTTTGACCTTTCAGGAGTATCCTGTGGGGGTTCTTGCAAGGCGGACACATCACTTGGGAGAAGAGTGGGGGTTTGCCTTTCTGCTTGTCTAGACGCACATGTAGTAAAGAGAGTATGTGACTGCCTTCCATTCTCTTTGCTAAGGACCGTTTTGTGCACCCATGCGATTTGTCTGGTAATGGCTTAAATAGGCTTCTTCCAGCTGCTGTTGGACTCTGCAGTCTGTGGGACATTGATGCTTGTGTCAACGCCTGAGACGAATCTTCTTCAGTTCTCCTTGTTCTATCACTGTCGATAACTACTTTCCAAAGTCTGGTTTTGGGGAAAAATATGTTATCTCTCTCTATATAATGTAAGCCAGAATAAAGTCTTTGTGTATGTTTTCTTTTTTAATTTTTTTTTGGAATTGTGGTCTCACTCTGTTGCCCAGGCTGGAGTACAGTGGCATGATCACAGCTCACTGAAGCCTCGACCTCCTGGACTCAGGTGATCCTTATGCCATGGCCTCCCTAGTAGCTGGGACTACAGGTGTGAGCTACCATGCCAGGCTAATTTTTTGATTTTTTTTTTATAGTGGCAGGCTCTTGCTATGTTGCCAAGGCTGGATGTGTTTTTTGGTAAGGAGCTGCTAAAATGTTTCCTTTATTTGTTCCACATGCTGAAATGTCTTTTTAGACACTTTTGATGCACTCACTCTCATCTTCCCTTTCATACCCTAGCTTTAAAATATTATTGTATAAGGATCGCACTGCTTGCGTATTAGACTGGTCACCGGGATGCCCTGTTTCTAGAGTTCTGGATTAGCCTCTGCTTCCATGGAGTTCTGTGTAAGTTTCTTCTGTAATGACTTTATCTTCACAGCCACCTCATCTCTACCCTCCATGTCATCTTTCTTTCTTCTTGGGAGGTAGCACATGTATGCAGCTCGGTTGGGTTGTTAACCTCCTTCCTGCCTGTAGAAGTTTGGGGTTCAAGAGCCTCCTTATGTTTTGTCTACTCTCTGTCCTTGTTGGTGCAATCTGACAGTGTCTCAGTCGAAACAAATTTCTAAGGATCTTGTGGGTCTTCAGGGAATTTCATGGGGATTCACTCCATTAGATGTAAGCCAAACTATAGATCTTTTAAGGGAATCTCTTCTCCACCTTGTCTCCTGCTGAGATGGCAGAGGGACCTCACCCTTCACCCTTGAGACTCTGGTCTGACTGAGGACCTGTGAGGTGCTCCCTTGACCTCTTGAAAGGCTTTTCCTGTGACTGCACTCTGACCTTTTGATCCTCCTGAGGTTTCAACAAAATGTCGAGTGGCCACCCCTCCATCTGGGGCACACTGTCCTGATAATCAGTCTCTTAATGTTAGCATCTTCTGCCACCTCGAGAGGCTGAGTTTCAAAGTTACCCAGTCACTGTTCTGTTTTCTTAACAGTGCTTTCCTGTCTCTCTTCTCCCACATTTGCCCCATCCCACGTCCCTGGTAAATGAGTCCCTGTATATGGGACCAACCTCACACACGAGAGCTGTCTCCACATCACTGTAGGGGACAATCTCATCGAGCTTTCTGCCCCATGTAGTAAGGAGCTGCCTTCCTCCTGATTGTTCTGGGCAATCTGTGCTTTTTCTAATGTTCCTCAAAAGCCTTCTGCCTGCACCCAATGCCAGAATCCAGAGCTTCACCCACATTGTATGCATTTGTTGTGACAGCACCCACTTTCGTAGTCATTATGTGTTGCACTCGGAATTACCACAGGCATAGCGGCTTAAAACACACACGCCTTCTCTCCTAGTTCCCATGGGTTATGCGTAGACGCGGCTTCTCAAGATCCTCACATGGAGTCTCAGGGCTGCCATCCAGGTGTCAGCCAGACTGCAGTTCAGAGTTGTTGGCAGAATTCAGTTCCTGGGGTTGTAGGACTGAGTGCCCGTTTTCTGGCCGGCTGTCAGCTGGGGATCACTCTCAGCTCTCCTAGAAGCTTCAAGTGGATGTTAACCTAAGCTGCCAGATTTGTTGGTCATTTGTAGCAGCAACAGAAAACTAATACAATTGTCAAGCACTAGTTAATCTTGTTCTGGTCATTCCCAGGCATAAGTTGAATGCTTCTTTCAGGTTACCCTAAATCTTGTAATTTCCAGTCAAGGGTTTTTAGAGACTGACTCCTTCTACCAGTCTTTGAAGGCAACACAGATCTTCTGTTAAATATTTCCTTAATCTGTCAATCTCTCTAGGAAGAAAGACAAATTTGTTTCACAACATTCATGTCTAAGTTCCAAGAATTCTATTTTGTTTCTGCCACAGGCAGGACTGAAAGATTTCCATCCCATGTTGAAGGCTGTTTTCCAGCATGAAATGCTGTGAGTTCCTCCTCCGATCAGAAGGGAGCGGCGCAGCTGCTTGACTTGTGCTTCACCTTGGCTCTTTGCCCTTTGAAGCCAGTCACGGTGTCGTGCCTAATCTACGTCAATTCTCCTGCAGCAACAGTCACTCTCATGGGGCTAGGTACCAAGCTACTCTACTCCAGAAAAGTTTGCAGTTGAAGATCTAAACTTTCCGTGCATGACGTGATATACAGAAAAGGTTTCAGAGGGACTTAATAGGTTTTTCCAACAGACACTTGTGCCCTGTGTTTTGCACTTAGCTTGCTCATAAATCACTAGGCTTCTGCTGCAATAAATGAAATATGAATTAAATCCAGAAGCACCACAGTCATGGATTAAAATGTATTCCTTAAGTTGTCACCATTGTAACAAATCTTTTTGTAAAGACCGGAGTTGTACTTTATCCTTTGTCTTCCTGTAGTGTTTTCTTGTGTCTTGCTTTTAACTTATTATTGCCTGGGCTGGTGGAAGGCTTCTTGCAGGTGTTTATTGTGTATTTTTCCCTGTTGTGCTTATTTATCAGGATGTATTTCTAAAGAAACTCTCATTGTCTGCTGTCCTTGGTGATCCCAAATGTGTTTTCTTGTATCTCTGCTGTTTGGCGGCCTCTTCTTTATACTTTGATTAGTTTGCGTGATATGTAGCATTTTTCAGTGAAGAGACTGAGGCCTGTGAGATGTGTCTTAGGCACACACCTGGTAGGCGGCAGGGGTGGACAGCATATAGGAAGTAAGACCACAGGTGGACCAAGTGGACAAATTGTAGGACCATTGCATGAGTCTATGGGAGAGCCCAAATTCCAGCAGACAGTTGGACAGCTCTTTTAAAGCTGTTTGCTGTATCCTTCTTTTCATGCATCCTGAAATTCTTTTCCATGGGTCTTATGGGGAGGAAAGGAGAAAGGAACCATAGAAAAGTGGCCTCTAAGGAGAAGTCTGGAAACAATTCATTTGGAGGATTCTACTTTTCTTTGGGAATGTTGGTATTGATGTTTGTCATAAACAGCAGTGTTTACGTTACATCCTTATTGCAACAAGCCGAATCTCTACAAATTTGTGAAAGTCTGTGATATGGTAGAACTCTTACGCACATACACACACATGCTGGAATAAATATCACAATGGTCTGGAAAAGAAATATGGGAAATTAGATGAACTCACAATTAATTTTTTTAAGATGTGGATGAGAAAACCTTCCTCTGTGTCCTTTATTATTCTTTGAAGGCATAGTTAACAAAGGCAGGATCAAATTCTCCTTGCATAACTTATGTATCTGTTACTCCCAGGCAAAAGTCTTCTAGAGTGATGGTCTTGTCACACTGTCTTAGAAGAGAGTAGAAAGTTTGTATTAGATTAAAGTATCCTAAAAATTCAAACTTTTTTTTAGTGAAATTGCATACCCATCTAACCTAGTTTAAATCCCTATTAATGTGAGGAGCAAGTGGCAGACTGATTGTCACAGATTATTGATAGGCATTTATAACAGCCACTGATCCTTTTCGGGTATTACCTGTGAAGAGTATGTTCTTGAAGTTGCAGGAAAGGGAGTTGTTATGTACAATAAACTCGTGGAATGCTTTTTACATGGATGATGAGGATTTAAAAAATAACTTTAGCTCTTCTTTCTGAGAGTCTTACCAGAAAAATACATTCATCTGGAAGCAAAATCCAGACTGTATTCAGAGCAGAAGCTGTCTCAGTGATGTAGTACAAACTTGGGAGTACTAAGTGAGATCTCAATAATAATGGCTCATGATAGCAAGTTGCTGGTCTGACCTGGAGATGGGGACAGGGGTAGCTGGCAGGTGGGCCTCCCGAGGGGGTGTCCTCCATACACTGCAGATAAAAGTGAAGCCTTCAGCTCTTGATTGGACCTGAACTCCTGAGAGGCTGTGTTGTTGCCATCTGAAAAAAACCTGGTCCTTAATTCAAGGAATTAACACAAATGATATGTATTTCTTGTCACCGTCTCTACCTTTGAAGCCAGATACTTAAATTTACCTCTGTCTCCAATTTGGTTGCACTTCAAAATGTGCTCCCAATAGAACTTAAACTTTTATATATCTCTCACTTCCCATATTTAGACTCTTGTTTTCATCCAAATTTTTTTAAGTTTCATTGAAAAAAAAACATGTTTCAGATAAACTTAAATAATTGAAAGAAAACACTTTGCTGCTTTAATTTGTTTTTTATTTTTCTGAATTAGGATATGTGTGAACCTGTCTCTGCTCACAGTGTTACTGATGTATGCCTGCCTCTGTTCACACTGTCTTTCGTGTGTGTGTCTGCCTCTGTTCACACTGTCTCATGCATATGTGTACCTACCTCTGTTCACATTCTCTCCCATGCGTGTGTGTCTGTCTTGGTTCATGTTGTCTCACCTGTGCATGTCTGCCTCGGTTCATGTTGTCTCACGTGTGC